TGGGTTAAGAAAGTTGAGAAGAACTGAGAGGAAGACAGATAAATGGCTGTGCTGGTTAGAAAGAAAACATAAACCGCAGGACATGAACCTCCCTACCCCAGTCCTCAACTTTTATGAGAGCCAATGATATATATACCACATAATATAAAACATCATTTCTCAGCCACATTTTTCTGTGGGACATCTATCTGCCATATTGTATCTTTTTCAGATATTTTCATTCTCGGTTTTATTTCTTAGCAGAATTCCTACAAAAGAGGGTTTGATTCAAGATTTCACATAAAATATTTCTACCAATTTTTTTATTCTTAATTCATTATTCACAAACCCCTTACAAAGGTTGCTAAAGGGGAAAGTGTTTTAAATTGTTTTGTGTGATGTTAAATAGACATCCACACAGGCACATATGCATGTAAATGAGTAATAAATAGGTGCATAGTTGTCAATTTATAACAATTGTATACTGGTCTATTTAGTCTTTTAGGCAAAATTAAATTTGCTTATGTTTATATCCCTAATAATGGTGCTAATTCTTACCAGTTATGACAGAGGTTCTCAAAGTTCCTGGACAAGAATATTAGCATCTTGGATCTCCTTAGAAATGCAATCTCTTGACTTGCCCCAGACCTACATAGCTAGGAAGGGGATTGGGGGAAACAGCAGCAATCTGTTTTTTAACTTGCCTGCCAGGTGATTTTGAAGCTTTCTAAAATTTAGAGCTACTATTTTACTAAACCCAGTGTTTTCCCTTACATTATATCCTTTGATTCTTATAGTAATTCTGAGATACATTGTAACTCTTTATCTGTGTTCCGGGGGAAATATGAATTGAAGAGATTAAATAATTTATTCCAACTCACACTGATATTTAGCAGTATTCCGAAGAAGAATTTTCAGGTCTTTTTCAGATAATATGTCTTTCTTTCCTTTGAATAAACCCTGAAACAGTATGTGTTACTTAAGCATTCCAGCTTTTAAAATTTTTATTATCTAAGTTTTTACTCTTTTATTAATTTTAATCAGCATCTCATGTAAAGAACATGTTCTTTGACAAGTCAAGTAACAGGACCAGACTCAAATTTATATACTTTTTTTTCCCCTAAGTATAGGATGGTTCCATTATATATTTTAAAAATAAATGGCATTTTCAGTTTATGACTACATTCTGTCTACTTTTGTTTCTATGTGAACTTTTCCATAATAAAAATAAAACAATATGAAAAAATGGCTTCTGATACCAAAAATAAGTATATAAAATATTTTAGATGCATAGCCTAAAAAAACTCAAATAAAAGTATAATCGGTTTTATAAAACAGTCTAAATTTGCCATCATTATTGACTTAATCTTACTATTCTGTTTTTATTTTAATGACACTTACCAATTTAACTGCTGCTCAGTTACCAAAAAGTGTTTCTAAGATTAATTTGGAGTTATTTCTGTCAAATGAAACAATACTGTCCTCTCTATTACTTGTAATTTTCATGAGTCTAAGTTAATTAACCAAATTAGCAAACCATAAAATCAGATGTGTTTATAGAGACCCAAAACCTTATAATGACTTCAACTGGAGCTTCAACATAGGAAATTTTTAATAAGAAAAAAGTTTATTTTACTTAACACAACATGACGGCTCCTTTAATAAAAAGAAATTGTTACTTTAAGTTGTAACTAATATTTCTCTTGGCTGCAGTAGAAAATATTTGCAAAATGAAAAGTTGACAAGACTGAAATAATTAATGAAGATTTAGGTAGTATTTTATTTTCCCTTATGTTCTCCATATCTGCTATTTCAACAGGATTTACATAATGTGGCATTTGAATTATGGAGAATAGAAATCTGGTAGTATTATAAAACCCGGGCCCATCTGGGAAATAATCTTGGGGCTGTATTAGTTATATAAAATACCTTAAAATTTCCTGATATTTCATCTGTGTAGGTAAATAAATATATTATTAAGGGGTTTCTTAAAACATCTTTGTAGTGCTGGTTTTATTTATTTTACCTTTTAACCCTGTTTCAACTTCAGAGAAGAAAAGTTGGTGGTAATTATTAATTAATTTCTCACAATAGTGCAGTGGTCATCTCAATAGTTGTTAGTAATTCAATTTCTAGGCCCCACCCTTAGATATTCTTACTCAGCTGATTTTAAAAGAGGACCCAGAATCTATTTTAACAAGCACCAGCAGTGATTCGGATGTAGTAGTCCCTAGGTTTCAGCATGAGAAACCTTAGAAGAGAATGTACTCCTTCAAGCTAACATACTAAAAATAACAAAATTAAATATTCCAAATACGACTGTAGCCTCTTTTATGCAGCTTTAACCTTGGAAGGATAGGAATGATTATCGTATTTTCTCCCCATAACGGTAATGTACGAATTTAGAGCCTTGAGACATAGTTATCCTAGTATGAACTAAGCACTTAGTACAGACAGTATTTGGCACATAGTGGGAACTGCATAAATATCTTGGGATGGATGTATGAAGGAAACCAAGTAGCTCCATGTTTAGAGTTCCCACGTTGTCCACATGCTATCTTCTCTTTGATTCAGCTGCGTAAGTTATGTGTACAGTTTTATCTTCCTCCTTAAATTGTACAGGTTTTTCATGGAAGGGACCACATCTTGTCTATGTTCATTTCTATTTTTAACTCTTTTACACATACATGCCCAGGAAGTAGTTATCAAGTATTAAATATTTTGTGATTATTTAATTCATCATACTAGATTCTCATCTCCATGAGGGCAGGGGCCTTGTCTCTCATTTTCATAGCAGTTTTATCTGGACTTGGTAGTTACTGCATGCTCAGAAACATATGAATGAACAAACAAATTACCAAAACAATAAGTAACTTCATTTTAATTCAGATTTTCTTCAAATTTAATTTTGGGGGGTAATGAGGTTTTCTGGGGGGTAAAATTTATTTTTATATAAGAGGAAAAAAAATCTGCCTTACCCTTTAAGAAGAAACTCACAGTGGACATGTCCCTACCATTTGCAAGAGATAGAAACAATTTCACAAATTCTGAACTGGTGAAGCAGGGCATTATTGTAACAATTTTCTATCTTAGCATTAAATAGTTTATATCAGTCATTATGAAAATATCACAATTTAAACTACGTGGCAGTTCTTAACCTCCTATGAAGTAAAGATGTTTCCCTATGAAAGCTTGAGAGCCTATCAAAATTCAAAAGATTTGTTTTACTTTAGTCAAAAAATAAATAAGGAAAACAGAACGTCCCAGTACCTACAAAACTTTCTGAAATAAATTCTATTAGTGTACTCTTTTTAAAATATCCTTATGATTATATTTCTTTTCAAAACATATTAGTATCAGTAAATAATTTAGAGCTCTCATAAAGTATGAAATCTCAAGGTTTATGCCCTTGGTAACAGTAACTAGCTGATTACATTTCTCCTGACGACTTGCAGTACTTTTTGTTTTTCTCCAAACATTTTGGCTTTGCTGTTGTTGTTTTGTTTTGAGGAATTTCTCATCTTCTCCAAATTATCTGTTCTCCTTTGCTTTCAGTGTACTATAAAAGAATATTGGTTATTTAAGCATTCCTGTTTCTTGAATGATTGTTACCTGAGATTTTACTGTGAATTTTAATCAGCATCTCATATGTGGAACACTTACGTTGACCAGTTTATAGACATAAGATAACTATGGCTTAAATATAGAGATATATCTACAGAGGTATAGATACCTTCGTGTCACCCTGTCTCCTTTCTGGTCCCATCCCATACCTCATTCCCCTTTGCACTTTTGTTAGTCCTCAAAATGATCCTCTCTTTTACTTAGGTCAGCTCACATGAGCCTATCAATTCCCTGACTAGAAACAATTCTTGAATATCCTCCTAAATGTGTAGCCTGGAAAAAACATCAGTTTTAGCTTCCAGATAAATGTAAGTAAGAGAGGACTATCGGGGAGATATTGAGAAGAGGGGCAAGGATTAGGACCTCTAAGTTGCCTCAAGTAACTCAACCATGGTGATTCCAGAGACTTAGATGTGTGAGTCTGGTAGAAAGCAGGGGCTAGGGGAACTTGTCTTTAAGTCATTTGCTGCACCTACACTTAACTGTCTTTAGATTGTATACTCCAGATGGTCAACAATGTCAAAGTGGTGTAAAGTTGCTTTTACTCACACCAGAAAAATTGAAAAAGAGCAGTAGTCTATATGAAAAAATAATTTTTATCATACTAATGGCTCTTTGGGAACACTGGGGTTGAGCTGATTGTGAGGGAAGGTAGAGGCCAAAGGAGAAACTTCACAGAGGAAAGAAGGCAGGTACTGACAGGAAGCAAAGGCAGGCTGCTAAACACTCCCTTATTCTCTTCAGTTGTATTCATACTCTGCTTGGTGACTGTCCCTGAAAATGCATTTTTTTCTCATTTCTCCTTGACACAGTATCCAGACACACCTCTTTCCCCTAATTCAGATATCCTCAGTCACTTCATGAATAATTCCACAGGAAGGCTTGCCACACAGAGAATTCCAGGTATTTCTATAGAAGCATTTTTATCTCCAGCAGTCCCCTAACTGTCGTATTTTAAATGATTGTTCTTAGACATGATTTTGTCCAAAGAAGAGTTTTCTTTATTGTTTTCAATTTCTTGAAACATCTTTATGGTACTGGAAATTTCATTGAATGTAGTAATCTTCCAATGAGAAAGCTCTCAAATATTTTTGTATGCTGTTTCTATAATAAATGACTATGATAATGAATTATGTGTTCAAAAGAGAAACATACAAATTAGACTCCAAATTTTGTAGACTCCATAAACTTCTATAAACTTATAAGCTAAATTTTATTTAACTTGCCTTTTTCCTATATACCCTTTGTTCTAAAATAAGGATATGTTGGAGAATTCATAAATTTGTGATTTTGTTTTGAAAAATTAATAGTTACTTATATGGAATGGTTATCAGGCTACTACTAAGCAGTAATTTCATTAATTGGAATATTAAATAAACTTCTTTCCTTTTTTTCAGGTGATGGTGTTTGTACATGCTCGAAATGCCACCGTAAGAACAGCCATGTCTCTAATAGAAAAAGCAAAAAATTGTGGCCAGATTTCGTTCTTTTTTCCTACCCAAGGACATGAATATGCACTTGCAGAAAAACAGGTAGGACACAAAGAATATGAGAACTAAAGCATATAACATGCCACATATACCAGGTATTTTATATGTGAAAGATCCACTGTCTCAATTTCCAAGAAGTTAATTTTACAGATGTATGTTATAATCTTGAATTGTTTCTTGACTTAATGACCTTTTATTAAAAAGTTTCACTGTATGATGTAACACTTATCATTCCTTTCCATATGGTTATAATTGAAATGTTTAGTCCTGCTCTTTAAAATATAGTTAAAATATAAAATGCAGCTAAATTTCATATCCTGTGTTAACATCTAATGGGTTTATTATTGTACCTTTAAAGAATTAATAAATTTTTTATTTTTTCAGTTTTGATTTCTAAGGTTAATATTGACAGATATAACCTAAATAAATAAGGCTCTTTTTTTTTTTTAAAGCAGTGTAAAGGAATTCTGAGCCAAAAAGTTTGAAAACAGCTGCCTTGTTCCTCAACGTACACATGCTCAAAAGACCAAAAGGTCTTTGGATCAGCTGCATCCCTGTTAGAAAGGATACCTTTAGAAAGCCCCAATCCAGACTCACCAAACCAGAATCTGAATTTTTAACTAGATCCTCAGGTGATTTTCTGCACACTACAGTTTAACAAGCACTCCTCTAGGTAATTTGAGTATTGGTAGTATCTTAAGATTTATTATATCAGGTTTTATTTAATTATATCAGATAATTATTTAGATCAAGATTAGGCAAATTGAGGCCTGATGACCAAAGGTCTCTACCTGTTTTATAATTAAAGTTTTATCAGAATATAAACATACCAATTTATTTATTGTCTGGCTCTTTTTTTGCACTACCAGAGAAGAATAGAGTAGTTGTGATAGCTACTGTGAATTAGTTTCAGTTTCTTTGCAGAAAAATCATGTTGACCCCTGATTTAAAGCTATGAAAATAAATTATGAAATAAAAAAACTTGGCATAAAATGATAGTAACTTCAAATTTTTTATATATATAAAATGTATGATTTAACTGATTAGTCACAGAACAGCTGCTAGCTGCCAGACATTGTATTTTGCACTTTCATATTTATTATCCTAGTAAAATATATTTAATGATCATGACTGTACTATAAATTTTACCATTTTATATTGATATTTTAAATTCTATGTTGAGCTGATGTCAGTTGTTTGAACATCAGAGTCCCTTTCAATTTAGAACTACAAAATTTTTAATTTTCTATAGTTTTTACTTTTATTACATAACATTTATTGTACAGCTTTGTGTCCTTCCAATTGCTTATTAATCATGAATTTATGAGAGTCTTTGAAAAGTCAAGTTGGTATTCATAAGTCTTGTTTCATTTCTTTGGAAATATGAAACAACTCTATGCTGTTTAAAAGCCAAGCCTTGAGAGCCACCTTGTGGATTTCTGGTTTCTTCATTCATCTCAATTCTGAGAACTTTCACTAATGTAAATAATGCAGGTTTATTGTTTAATTATTGTTACTGTAATGTTTAACATTTATTAAGTGCTCACTAGTTTCAGGCATTGTTTTTATTACTTCATATAACTCATTCAATTCTTAAAACCTATGATATTGCTGGTATTATCCCTTGACATAGGGTATGTGTAAATCAAATATAGCATGAAATATTCTAGAACATATTATAATAATTTATATGGAGAGATTTTCAAATGATGTTTATTTAAGGCAATGTCACCAAGCACAAATTCACAGATCACTATACTGAGAGAAGAGTAACAGAGAAATGAAAAGTTTTAATACAATTGGGTAGACTTGAAAATCCCTAGTCATTTTTATTATACCTTTTTTATATTTCTATTATACTTGATTTTTATCCTGATCTAATATTATTGGATTTTTTTTTCAAGAAGAATGAATTGCACACACATTTATTAAGAACATTGTCCTATTCACCATTATATTCCCAGCCTTTCATAGAGTATTTGTTGGATAGTAGGTGTCCCAGAATTACTTTTCTTCTTTGCTTTTATTCCTCTGAGACTGACATTATAATAGATGTTTCACTTTAGCTTTCTTATCTGATCTGCATGATTGTGCTGTTCTTTATGATTCTTTTATTCCCATTTTACAGATAAGGAAACTAATACTGAGAAAGTAAATAATTTTCACAGAGAATCTCATATTAAGTAGTGAAGACGTGACTTGAGCCAGTCTGACTCCAAAGTCCACTGTTTTCACTACACTGTGTCCTGTTTCTTCAAAAACAAACAGATCAAATCCAGTCTGGGACTTTCTGAAGATCTTAGGGCATGGAGTCTTTTTTTTGTTTGTTTTTTTAATAAAGTAGAAGAACATTTCTTCATAACTATATCCCCCACTTCTCCTAAAGAGAGGCTTTAAAAAGTGAACCCCTCCACAGTGCATATTATAACAAAAGATAAAAGGTCATCTTTCTCAATGTTTTCTCAGAGCTCTAAAATTTAAGAATATTCTTCTTGTGCTAGTAGTACATTCCTTCATATTTCTTGAAGTACCTTTGAACTTAAATGATATTAACATTCTAGCAATTTCAAGGGAGCTATTATCATTATGGTAGGAAACATTTCTTCCCATGTTTTTGAAAAATGGGAAATTAAGAACCCAAAACATTAAAATTTAATTAGAAGGTAAATTTCCTATTTTAGTACATAGAAATTTAGCCTCGTGCCTCCTGTTATATAGCTAAATCCCTACTGTGCCACAGTGATGCTTTACCCCTAAGTGTTTAGATGATCACCTCAATTCCTGACTTACTAAGTTCTTTAAAAGCACTTCTTTACAGTTTCATTCAACACAGTATAATTTTATTTGTATAAATAACAAACAAAACTCCATTAAGAAAATCCTCCCTTTCCCTGTATGTATGTGTATGTGCACATGTGCATGTAATAAGGCTGTTTCTGTGCCTTAACTGTAACTGAAATGAGTCTTTTCTTTCTGGTAAGTAACATTTACACCTCAGGATTTCTCGTATAATTTTCATCTTTAGTATCAAAGTCACCCCCAGGGGGAAAACTACCTATATTTCTGGATTTGTCCACTGAAACAAGAAGGTAGGAAAAGGAAAGTAACATCTCCCAAGAGCAGTTTAACCTCTAGAAATGGAGTTTAGGGTTCTCCCTGGGCACAAGAGTATCTCAGGACTTATAAATGATGCCCAAACTAACAGGAAACATTAACAAAAAGCTCTGGTTGTAATTTTACGTCTAAGAAGGTTTGTGACCTTGGACATCTAAACATTTCATACAATGGAGTAAATAATGCCTATTCTAATGGTTTACTATGAGAAACAGATAGAATGATGTATGAAATTATTTTGGAAACTGAACAATAATAAGACAATGTAGAAATCTATTTTTAGAATATATATATACTAATAACTAAATTTTAAAATGGCAAAAGGATAATAAACAACATGGATAGTATTTTCTTAATTTACCCTATATATTATTACTTTTATACTCTCCCCCACAAAGACTGTGTCTTAAGAAACCACTGTTTTCTATAAAATAGAACATAATTCAAGGAATAGTAGCAGTTTATAAAAGTAAGTATATAATTAAGGTTACATACATATTCATTATTAAGCCATTGTTTTCTATTATGATTTTAATTTTAAGTTAAATGAATCCTTCAATTAGAATTTTCAGACTCTGTTTTACTTGAGATCTGAGTCAAATCAATTTTTTCTGTTAGGGACAAATTTTTAGCAGGCTTTAACTATTCTTGTACTGGATTGAGTATTCCCACCCATCCTTGTACTGTATATTTCTGATTTATGGCCACTGATGTGAGTTCAATTTTTTTTATATATATCAGTGATGTTAAGCGTTTGTCGTGTAGGTAGAATTTCTATTACTTAATAAGCCTTGTGTCTGTAGTTATTGAAAATATCTATTGAACAAGTTGTAATATTAGGAAGAATCAATAATAATATGTACCCTCAAGTTACTTTAAATTATAATTTTCTGACTTTTTATTATGTAGATCTATCAATCATTTCCTTGTTTTTATAAGTTCAGCTTTAGCCTTTGCTTAAATCAATGGCAACTGGATCAATGCCAATTTGATTTAGTTTTCTGATGCTTACGATTACAGCTTGCTTTATTTTTCCTTGAGCAGCTTCGGTGTCACTATGGCCAAGTAAAATTAGAACCATCTCTTCCTTGAAGAGATGGTATCTGTTAACTAAAGACAGCATAACAGGCTAGTAGTAGCCCAGGCGTGTTGGCTCACTCCTATAATCTCAACACTTTGGGAGGCTGAGGCGGGCAGATCAGTTGATAAGTTGAGGTCAAGAGTTCGAGACCAGCCTGGCCTACGTGGTGATACCCCATCTCTACTAAAAATAGAAAAATTAGCTATGCATGATGGCGGGCACCTATAATCCTAGATACTGGGGAGGCTGAGGTGGGAGAATCACTTAAACCCGGGAGGCAGAGATTGTAGTGAGCCAAGATCACACCATTGCACTCTAGCCTGGGCAACAAGAATGAAACCCCATCTCAAAAAAACACAAACAAAACTAAACAGAGTAGTAGTAGTAGGGATGGTTAATAGCTCCATTTATTTTATTACTTTAAATATATGCAAAATATAATCTTCACAGAATTTATTCTTTCCTCTGCCATATTTTATCAACCTCTTTTCCTTTTAGAGTATAATATAGTAATTCTACTATCAGTTACCACCACATAGGGTGTCAAAAGTTAGTATTTTTTAAATAAAATCAAACAAAATTAGTAAAAAACTGATTCCTTAATTGAATTTTTGGAAACATGACTTTTCTGTTTTAAAAGGGAGGTAATCTATATAGAAGAAAAGCTTTGGATCTAAACAAACCTGTGTTTTAACGTTCATTCACACACTCTGCCTTTTTAACACCCTCAAGCCACATTTCATCACACATGAAGTGGGAATTATACCTATATTTTATGGCTGGGCATGGTGGCTTATGCCTGTAATACCAGCACTTTGGGAGGCTGAAACAGGCGGGTCACCTGAGA